GGATTCCATTGACCAGCATTTTCCAATGGAAACCCTTGGCAAAACAAAATGGAAACCCTTGGAAAAATGACTGCTCAGCTCTAGAAATAATGGAGTAAGGAGGGCAGCTGGTAAGAGCAGACATTAGGAAGATCCCACTGTTTCCATAGGGAGAAATGTTCCCTTGCCTACTTGTGGTCTGCAGAGGTCTCGTAGGCAAAAAGTTACTGTCAGGCACCTTTGGCTCCATTTTCCTCCTGCAGTGTGCACTTGTAGGCTGTTCTCCTGAGAGCTCAGCAGCCCAATGCTGTGCACCTTCTGCTGTTGGGCAGATTCTAGCAGGTGAAGAAGCAGCCATAGACAAAGCAGCTCAGACTGCAAACTACCTCTGCTTAAAAGGACCTGAAATCAGCAGGCTGATTAACTTTCCAATGCTGAGCAAGAATATGTGGTAAACTGCTGCCCTACATGAAATGCCTGAGCTAGGGCTCAGCCTGGGAGATTTAGGCCTTTTGTAGAGGATTAAGAGCTCTGATTCTGACTTGCTGAGGAGATGAGAACAAACCATCATCTCCTGGAATATGGGTATTCTGTCAGCTTCAGAACAAGGGTTAAGATAAATGGAAAGGTCTCCTGAAAACTTGAAAAGGCTTTTATGCTAATAGATGAAACCATGAAAAGCTTCACAAGGAGGTAGGAAGGAGGGGAGTCCCAATTGTTACATGAAAGATTCAGATAGTGTCTGTGGCAGGTTATGACTGGAGACTTAGCACACTGGTGACAGAATACCCAATGAAGGGAAAGGTCAGTAACAGGGGAAAGAGCAAAGAGATTTTTACTTCAACTGTTTAATCTGTTAAGTGAAGTTGGTGTGTAATTGTAGGGGTGATGGTCCAAGCAGCATGTGAGAAGCAAGGATGTTTTTGGTGATACCATATTGAACAACTGTATAGCATTTGTTTCAATAAAAGATCATCACACACAAGCACCCCCACCCACCTTTTGCTTCTTGTAACCTTAACAAGGCAGGTCTTCAGCTAATGTAACTCTATTGGCTTGCACCAATTTACAGTAAAGATTTGGCCCTATCTTTATTTTCTAATCACCAATTTAGGTTCTTTGACATTTCAGATAAAGGAAGCCTGAAGTTGACATCAATAAGAACAGGCCTGAATAACCTGACATAAAGCTTGTCCCCCTCTTACTTGTTCAACTCCCCCTCACACTCATTGTCAGACTGAAAACAGGAATTTCAGCTCCATCAGATGAAGCACTCACAATATATTTCTCGTCTGAGACCTCCCAGCAAGAGTAGTCCAGACTGAACTTAAGGTTTTAAATATTTTTGCAGTAAAAGGAAAAGCAAATGAGCTTCTCTTCTCTTCACTTCCAAACCTTTGTGGGTTTTACTATACCAATAAAAAGGTCTGAGCTCAATTAAAAAGCCCTTCGTAACTCCCTGTTTGTAAAGCAGCCACCCACAGACAAGATCCCACACAAGTGCTGGTACTTCAACATGTGGACAGCCATTAAATTAGTGGCAGACTACCAGAAGCTACATTTCACTATCCCACTCCCATATTATGGTTTTAAGTGATTGATTTACTCAAGAATAATGGAGCAGCATGGTAGGTATTTAGCCTAGATAATGAGGTCTGGATTCAGCAAGATATTTGAGCACACAAGCAGTCCCACTGACAAGCATTCACTGTTCCTGCCAGTCCTAAAACAATATAAAAGCTCCATCCGTTCCCTCAGACTAAACTGAAGGTACAGGAAATAGGTGGTTAACGAGGATTATTTATACCTCAGTATACTCACATTGTGATTATAATCACTGTGTTATAAATCACTGCATTGTGATTTATAACTTGTACATTATAAATGTGCAGTTATTAGTTCCCAGTCTTGAGAGCTCTTGGCTCTGGAAGACAGACTCCAAACCTGTTTCAGGGTCAATACGAGGAGACAGCACTTTCAGCTGCGATTTCATTTCCCTCCAATATGAAGCTTAGCATTTCAGAGCTGCGTCTCCTCATGCAAGCAGTTGTTTTCAAAGCAGTTTCTGTCAATTCCAAATGATTTCTAATCAGCAACGTTTGTGCAGGCAAGCGGAGTACAAGCAGAATTTTGGCTGGCAGACGAGACTTGCGTTAATAAAGCATCCTGTACTTCACACTCACCTAGTGCGCAGATTTCTCTGCAAAACTGACTTCATGCATAATTGATCTTATTTTGCAGCTTGATAAACACGTTGTCTGCTTTTTAAAATTTTCTCAGGATTCTCCACCACTCTGTGCTATGGGCTGCATCAAACTCCAAAAACTCCTGTCTTTGTACTAGTTACTGTAGTAATGAACACATTATAAAGTTAAAAAGCAAAAAAGCAATGTGGGTATTATCCCTAGTCAGGGATATTCTTGAACATAAAAAAGAAAATTAACATATTAAGTTAACTGCAAAAGAAATTGAGGCCAAAAAGTCACCGAATCCAAACTGTTTTTTAAACAAGCAATTGTGTGCTTAAATCGGAATGGCCCCTACCCCCATACACACCCCATCCCACTGGGGAAATACTCCAAAAATGATTGCACTAAACCATGTCTGAAACTGGTGAAAGCCAGAGCAAGGCTGTCCAATGAGCTGCCTGCCCAGGGTTAATCTGTGGACCCTAGGCTCCTACTTAGCCACTGCTATGGTCTCCTGGCTCCCTCCCCCCCCCGCCGTAATGGGTAGTGTTCTACAGCACAGCCCAGGGTGCCAGGAGACTCTGCAGCCCCTGAGACGCATGCTTGACATGGTGCAGTGGGTAAGCCTGGACAAGTTGCTGAGGGTGAAGAAAGAGTGCCCTGTCCTCGATGCAGCTGCGTGGGAGGTGAGGATCCTGCATAGCATATGGAAGGGGCAGTAGCCTATGGTGGTAGGGCCTGCAGGGCATGCAGCCCCCTGGGCAGCCCTGGCGTAGAGTTAGCTTCAGCTAAGTTTCCCTCTCCCCCAGGCATGAACTATGTTTTTTATATTAACGTGGTACTTGTACCTTAAATCCAGCCTAAATCACAACTTTCACTTAGTCACCTTCAAAGAATCAGTTTCAAACCACATTATAATTTTTCCCACTATGTCAGTAGCCTACTGTCACTAGAGCTCTGTTCAAGACATTAGCCTCACCAATGACAACCTTTTAACTTTAAAAACACCTCTAAGTACAGCTGAGCAGGGATTTTTTGCTAGAATGTGTATTAGAGAAAACCAAACTGTTCTTGAGAAAAAGATCAGTTGCAATTAATTTATTTTGGAAAAAAGGTTTCAGAAAACCCATTGAACTGGGATGCTTAGACGTTTTGCAACAGGAAGTAGAATCATCTGGAAGGAAACTACTTTTGTGCAAAGTTTCAATTAATTGCAAGTGAAAAGAAAGGATGCAGCAGTCAAAACAGGGTTTGAAAATTTGGGTGTTTTGACTGACTAGATCTGAAGTCTTTATTCAGATCTTCATTTTGGGATACAAAAATCTTGCAAAAGCTCAAAAAACATTCACAGGACAAAATATGTTTCCTCCCTAGCTGTATCTCAAACCTTCCACTTCTTAAAATGACAGCAGCTGTAACTAGCACCTAGTCTGAACCAGCAATGTAACTTACAAGCCCCAGAGTTCCCTGCAGCTCAGGCTGAGCCAGGGCAATTACTTTGGGTGGAGGGCCATTTACCGAGTTTTGGCAAACTGTCAAGGGCCGCATAGGTAGCCCTGTCCCTTGACAGGTGTCTGCCCCCTAGACCCTGACCTTTGCCACCAGAAGTCCCTCCCCTTATCCCCAGAATTACTCCTTTCAGCAAGGGGTTTTGCCATCTTGGAACCCAGAAAATACCAAATTATATTCTAAAAAGCAAACATCTACAGCATTAATTTGATTTCAAACAATACTTTTGTCATGGTTTACATGTGCTCGTGTAGTGTACATACAGGTGATTGCACAATAGCTTAAAATGAAGTCTTACTTCATTAGTATGTTGTGGGGGGATATATAGGTTTGATGTGGGCCAAGGGAGCATGTGGGGGGTGTATATGTGGGGTGTGGGTGGGTATGGGGTCTGTGGGAGGAAGGTGGCTGGGGTTTGTGTATGGCAGCGCAAGGGGGCACATGTGTATAGTGGGGTGTGCACGTGCAACTCACCCTATGAACACACACACACACACACACTCTCTCTCTCTCTCTCCCCCCGTCCCTGCATACGTGCACACACTCCGAGTCTGCGCGCGCGCACACACCCCTCCCCCCGTACCAGCACGGTCCCATGCTCCACAGTCCGGTGATGCAGCCAGGAGCAATGAGTTGCTGGAGCAGGACAAGGGCAGGAAAGCAGGGAACTGGCTGGGGCTGGGTGGGGCAGGGCTGAGTTGCTCAAGCCTGCAAACCTGCTGAGGGCTCCCTCTGGGTCCTACTGCCCTTGACTCCTGTCAGCTTTGACAGGCAGCTGGAAACAAATATTAATTTAGTAAGTTTTTTTTTTTTGTTTTGTTTTGTTTTTAAGGGCCCTGCGGGCTGGATAGAATGGGCTGGCAGGCCACATCTGGCTCCTGGGGCATATTTTGCCTGCCCCTGCTGCCTTTCCCCTTCCGATTTATAGACAGTTCCTGGTTTTTTTGTTGTAATATTTTGCTTGGGGAAGCTAATGATCTGGATCAAAGCAACTTAAAAAAAAAAAGCAGGAGCCAAAAACTACTAAACATGTTGTTAATTACCACAATCATGTTAGGATAGCAAAAGCCCAAAATGGTGGCTTTGAGTCAGAGGTTATTCAAGTTAATGTGAATGAGCCTTTACATTTGTTGTTTCTTTTCTCTCTCTCTTTATACAGTCCCTTCCTAAAATCAGTCTTACCTGTGAAGTCCAGTCCAGGAGGAGGTATCCATTTTGAGAAGACTCTCAGTGCCAGGGATATAAGCAACGGAAAGAACCAGAATGTTGAATGCTACAGACACACACAGTTTTGGTGCAACATCCAACTCAATTCTCCTCAGCCTGCTCTCACTGTGCATTTCTTTATTTGGTTTGAAGTACATGAGGCACAAACCTTGTCCCAGGTCACTATGGCTCCTCCCCACCCTTCTTCCCCCACACCTGACTCCACAGGCAATTTAATGGCTTTGTGAATTGCCAGATGAAATTCCTTACAACTGAGGCCATCTAAGGAAGGCGGAGTTGGAAGTGTCCACGGCCCAGTATCCTCCCTACCTTAAATCAAGTTGCTGGTTACAGTCAAATTATTTGTCACAACACAAGTGATGACCAGGATAGGACTGCCCTGGTACACATGTCCACACCTTCAGTTAAAAGGCCCAGCAACAGAAGTAAAGGGAAGAGATTTCTGTGTTTAATAAGGATGAGGGGAAGAGAGAACAAGTTCACTAGGCATCCCTCTCTCTGTGGTCTCTTGAGAGTGTACTGCCCCATTCCTCAGTCAGTTTGGGGTTGGGCTGCTCCACAGAACACATGGCAAGCTGATAATGATGCTTTCTGTCTGTCTGGGACAGGTGTGAGCCCTTAATCATCTTGCTGAAGTCTTTTCTGAGCTGTTGCATGATGCAAGACAAGAGGTACAACTAGTATCTTCATAGTAAGGCAAGATGGGCTTATCCTTCACCTGCAAGTATCTTGTGTCCAGTTTTATAACCTCTTCAAGAGGTCCAGGGTTCCCCCCTTCAATCCAATGCAGCTAGCTCTTCCATTAGCTCCTCTTTCTCTCTCTGCAGCTCCTGCACCCGCTGTTTGTTCTGCTCCAGTCTGTCCTCCAGCCACTGCAGGAGGGGGCCGCTTATGGCAGACATTTGACTGCAGAGATTCTTGGTGAACACTGGAAAAGACAAGACACATTCTATCTCATCACAAGACCAAGTTTCTGGCTAAAAAAAAAGGCTGGGTTGACTGTCCTCCTTGACCGACTCAAACAGGTCTGGGGGGCAGTCATTTACACACACAACTCAAATGGCAATTCATTCATATTGGCCATGATTGTCCCAGGGAAAAAAAAAAAGTGTTAATTTGGGTACTTCCCAGTGTTAACTTGGGTACAAATGAGACAGTAGGCTTGTATGTTTACAGGATTCCAGAATAAAGGGCTCTGTCCCAGGAAAAATTCAATATCTGCTTTTGGGTCCTGTCACCGGGCTGCAGAATTCCAAAGCTCAAGGATACTGTGTAGAACCTAGAGATTTCACACCAGCATTTCATATTGAGAACTCACAGGACCCCATAAGGAAAGGGTTAAACAGCAACAACTAGGCATATAAAGTAGAGATATTTTACACCAAACCTTGTATCACTGATCGTTCTTGAGGCAGACCAGAGACTGCCGTTAAACATCTACTTGTACTTGCTTCTGTGAATGCAATGGAGGTTTTATGCTAGTGTGACTGATGTGTTCAAGTGCCAGATCTAAGACAAAGCAGTGCTACAAGAACCTCTGCTGTACTAATGCTAGGTGAAATTCTAGTGCTTTTAATCAACAGGATGAAGGTCCATAAGGAATCTGAAAAAGGCCACTGGCTTATTCCACTTATATCTAGGTCACATAAGAACACTTTCTTCCAGAAATATTACTGTAATAATGCATTTCTCTACTCTGCCTCTATAACCTCCACTAGAAAACCTGATAAAGATTTAAGGGAGATAAATAGTTCTAAGCAAGATGAAGAACTGAATAAGAACTATACAGCAAGGTCAAACTAGAGCAGCTAAACTTGGGTGAAGTAACCTGTTCATATGCTAGCTCAATCCCAAGCATCTCAAAGCAGTTACATTATGATCCCTGGTGACTGTTACACACTGTACCCTACTGACTTCCACTGATGGAACTAAAACAATCATTACTCAGGGCCTTAATACCCTAGTATTTAGTCATGGACCTACATTCAGCATCTTTATTCCCTAAAGATGAATTCTGGGGCTGGTGACACGGAGTGCAGCCAGGGTCCCTGCCCTGCTGCTGCCTTCAGCCCGGAGCTTCTGTGGGGCCTCCACCCAGACAGGCCCCTTGGATGAGTTAGCAGTGCCCTGGCCCACTGTCTGTGGGGGTTGCTTGGTGGGACCTCTGGGGCCTGGGGGTTCCCTTGCCTGTCCCACATGTCTGGATTGAGGTCCTGGAGGGGCAGGTGAGGGAACTCCAGGAAGAGGTGAGCAGGCTGCAGGGGATCAGGGCAATTGAAGAAGAGATTGATGGCTACTTTCATTCTCTGCAGGACAACGTAAAGGAGCATTATATATCTACCCTAATCAAAATGGGATCAGAGGAGGTGAAAGTTGAGGTACTGTGGGTTAGGATACATGGAGGTCAGAGGGAAAGA